AGTCACCAGCTGGCATCAGTTGCCAAACACTGTCTTCCGTGTGCTCCAAACCCCGGCCTTGGGTTTCCTCGCTGAGGTCCCAGACCTTGAGGAGCAGAGGGGGAAAGCCTCCCACTGTGTCCTGTCCAGATGTCAAGCCACAGAATTTGTGAAGAGGATAAATGATTGTTTTATATCACTAAGTTTTGGGGAAATTGTTACTAAGCCACAGTACCACAACACAGTCCACAATGAAGGGGGAAACCAGTTACAAACTCTGTTAAGGGCCGAACTCAAAGGGAGCTTGAAGAGCACACATTCTCAAAGGGGCAATATCAACCTTCCCCAAGGGGACAGAAGTGAGTACTTGAGGGGTGAAAAAATTCTTATTTTTAAAACTCAAGCATGGATAAACACAGAGTACATAAGCAGGTAGTAAATCTGTGGTATTAAATTTTCGTGGAGGCTAGAGGGCTATTGGGAAGATAAATATCTTAAAAGATTCCTCTGGTTGTGATCATGAAAATGGCTGAGGGACCCCACATTGGAAAGAGGAATTCTTTCTGAGCTGGAGAAATCTGAGAGGCAGCTTGTCCAAGCAAAAGGAAACATTCTGATCCTGAATCGGTGGCTTGACTTCTCGGAGTTTCAGTTTCATTTTTTGTAAAAACAGAGATTAACAATACCTTCTAGACAGAGCTCTTGCTAAGGGTCAGATGGAAGGTTCTGCTGCATAGTGGACGCTTCACACTGTGTGGTGGCTGATGAAGGAGATGGACTTTGAGCTGGCCCTGAGAGGGATGATGCTGATTGACAGAGATGGGGGGAAGGACATTTACACAGGGGACGCCAAATTGACTCAAAGCCCACAGAGAGGAGAGGACCTGTTCCAAGTTAATAGTCTGTTGTGTCTAGAGAGCTGGAAGCCCAGGTTGAGAGGGTCAGACCGAAGAGAGCAGCCAGTGGCAGAGTGAGCAGTACTTTGGATCCAAGGGGAAAGAATTCATCCCTTCACTTTTTAATTTTTTTTTAAATAATACAAACATTGATTAAGCACCTACTACGTCCCAGGACTACCAGGTAAAAAAGCGAATGAAGCACAGGAATCAATCATCGTGACACATGCAAGCAGATGGTTTCAGTGCAGGTCACCTTCCCTTGGACTATTGAGGGAAGGTTTCCCACAGAAGGGGACATTGAGGCTGGGCCCTCACCTAAGGGGATGTGATGGTGGGAGTGAGAGAGGGACTTCCAGGCGCAGGAGACATTGTGCAGATCACTGCAAGCAGTGTGCAGCATCGGTGTCTGTGTGGGGAGCCTGCTGGAGGTAGGACTGGAAAGCTAGTTGGGCCAGAGGGCACCGGAAGGAACCCGCATGCATGCAAGCAGTGTAGGCTGGGCTGTGTCTTTCACGCCATACCTGGGTCTGTGAGAGGAAGAGCCTTCTGCGGACCAGTGAGGAGGGCACAGGGCTGGAAGTGGAAACGGAGTTGACAGCGGATGATCCGATCAGAGCAGGTGGCAGAAACAGAGCTCACAGTCCTTAGTGGGCGAGGGGAGAGCTTGAAAGTGGGGCCAGGGAAGGCGGGGGCAAGGAGCAGTTTCCTGCTGGGGGTGAGTTTATGAAACCAGATGGATGAACAGTCCACAAGGGGTCCTGGAAGCCCTGGTGCCAGGGTGACATTAGCCCAGACGCCTTCCCCAGTCATTTGTTCTCCTTACTGGGATGCCACTCTGTCTCCCACTTCCAGAGTCAAGGAGGGGGCCCCAGAACCCCCACACTGGTCTTCATGGGTCCACTCAATGACCACTCAGCCCGGTGCCCAAGTGGAAAAGTTGCAAGGTGGCCAACTGATAGAAGGGGCTCTGGGCAATCTCTGAAGAGAGTCACCCTGTTAGTCCAGGGCTCTACCGGCCTCTCAGTCAGAGCCGGAGTAGAGGATGATAGTGTCAGAGCTGTCAGAGGCCACTGCCCCTAGGTGCCTCAGTGCTCTCACAGTGACACAGCCCAGGACACCTGGTACTAACTGAGATCTAGATCCAGGGCTGCCCCAGGGATGGACAGTTTCCACAGACCATCGTGGGGCCATATGCAATATAGTCAACTCTGTTCTGAGAATTAGAAGACACAAGTGAAAGTTCTGGCACTGCCACTTAATCTCTGTGGGACAGTGGGGTCATGGCCTGTCTCTGGACCTTCACAGCTCAATGAGGACAATGATCCTTATCCCACCTGTCCCATGATGTATTGATGACTAAGAGGAGGCAGGTAACAACTACTAGTGTCGGAATACTCCAGACTTGCTGCTTTAGCCAAGGCAGTACTCTACTGTGTGTCTGGTGATGCTGCTGTGGGTCTGTGGCCCATACTTTGAGTAGGCAAGACTTCTGAGCGCCATTAAGGAAAACACTCAGTGCCTGAACCAGAGCGGAAGGAGGAGCTCCTGAGTGAACAGCTGAGCACAGTACAGCCTCCTGGGATAGCTGCCCTTCCACCCCCAGCAGGCAGAGGCAGTGGGTTTCCCTCCCTTTCCATGATGGAAGCCCAAGTGTTAGGCCTCCCAGAACCCTTCCTCTCTATGCGGAATATTCTGTCCTTCTGATACTCAAGCCAGAATGCCAAGGAGAAGGCTGGAGCAGCAGCTGTAGGCTCAGAGACCCAGGCACCCTGCAGTGGGAGTCATTCTAAAAGTCTAGAGACTCCCAGTACCCTCACCCATCACACAAACTTGAAATGGCTCTGTCTCCGAATATGAGCAGAGATGTTTTAACTAAACTTGTTCTCTGAGTGCAGTAACTCACACCGAGCTACCCCTGCAAGGCTCCCTCAGTCCCACCACCTAAGACCTTGATACTCACAGGCATCTATGCCACACATGGAGGCCAAGTTGCCACTGATCATACAATCATTCTACAAGCAAGTGTTGAGCTGGTCATCTGGTAGAAAAGGCAGACACAGAGACAAATCATCACAAGTCAACGTGATCACAAGGTCCTTTCAAAGTGCCATGGGAACCCCAAGGGAGAGAGCTTGGAGCTGGGAGACCAGAAAACGTTTCAGGGGATGGTGGCATTTGGGTGACATTTGAAAGACAAGCAGGAGCTGGGCATGGTGGCTCACATCTGTAATCCCAGCACTTTGGGAGGCCAAGACAAGAGGATCGCCTGAGCCCAGAGGTTCGAGATCAGCCTGGGTAACATGACGAGACCTTGTCTCTACAATAAATTAAAAAATTAGCTGGGCATGGTAGTGCTCACCTGTAGTTCCTGCTATTTTGAAAGCTGAGATGGAAGGATTGCCTCAGCAGGTAGAGACTGCAGTGGCCATGAGCGTGTCACTGCATTCCAGCTTGAGATTCCAACTCAAAAAAAAAAAAAAGAAAGAAAATAGAAAGACAAGCAGGAAATTTCTCAAACAGAAAAGGGGATAGATAGATTTATTCCAGGATAAAGGAGAAGTAAAAGGCCCAGCATGGTAGACAGGCTGGGATGTGAGAGAAGCAGCGAGAATTTGAAGGTGTGCGAGGACACGGTGGAAAATGAAACTGGGGAGTGTGCTGAGGCCTGGCTGTCAGGGGAAGAAGTTGGGACTTTCTCTGGTTGGCCATAGAAAGCTGGAAGGGTTTAGGAAAGGACAGAGAGGGTGGACCTGTGATGTAGAGAGAGGCCAATGGCGGAAGTCAGGGCGGGCTAGAAGTGAGAAAACCTGTGGCCTGAGGACTAGTCCAGAGGGAGCAGGCTGGGCTCCTCCCATATAGGACTGGGCTCTGGGTGACAGTCAGGCACATCCTTCGCTTTGCTTAGTGGTGACATCACCAACTCTCCCTGCTAGCTCAGGCGTCTCTGGCCAGAGCTCAGGCGGCATTTGCGGGCTCTGTGTGCAGGCCTGCAGACGGAGGTTCCATAGCCCCCCTTTTTTTTCTTCCCCTATCCCCTGATGGATTATTATCCCACTGCAGAGAAGAAAATTCTAGCTCAGAGGAGTTATTTGGGGAAGGCCACACAGCTGGTAAGTGGCAGAGCCAGCCCGTGCGGCTCCAAATCGATGTCCTTCCCAATGTCCTGTGCTTACCTGGTCTTAAAAACCCACAGGGCAGGAGGGAGGTCCTAGGATGCTAAGTTTTCAGAATTTACGGCAGCTTGTGTCAAACTTACAATCTGGGATAAAGAAAGTTTCTCAAATCCTTGGCTTTTCTCTGAGGGTTTGTTTGTTTGTTTGTTTTTAAATAAGAAATATCAAAAGAAGAAGTGGCTGACCTCTCTCTCTCTCTGGAACAGGTGCGTTTCATTCTCCAGGTGTTGGTTACTAATCTCCAAGTCCTCAGTACTGGCTTGGCTGGTTCAGCAAGTCTCCTTCAAGGACCCTGCTCCCTTTAGCCCAGGACCCCACCTCCATTCCTCAGACACTGAGCACAATGAAACAGTTCTGGAAACAAGTCAGAAGCTGGCATGGGGGAACTGAGTTTCGCTGTGGGCACAGCTCACTGCTGGACAAGCAGATAGGCGCTGTCTTCCCTGAGGCAAAAGCCACTGAGAGATCAGCTGGCACTCCTAGCCCCGGCACCGGGAAATGTCCCCGTGAGAGCGGCATTTCTGCTCTCAACTGCTGGGCTGGCAGAAGTTGGGGCCAGAGGAGAGGCCGGCCTTTGAGATTCCTTCACACCCCACAACGCTCTGGGCTTTTATAAACCATTTCGCGCTCAGGAAGAAGTCAAGCAAAGAGGCGGTGACATTCTCTCTCATCTTCTCTTGACAAAAATCCACCCTGGATCCTGTTCCTCCCTCTTGGATCTGCAAGCATTTCCTGAGGCAGCTGTGTGTGTGCTCCACCATGAAGAAAAAAAGCAGGCCGTCTTTCAGGGGTTGGAAGGTTTCAGGGACCTGCCCCTGGGCCAGGCAGAGCCATCAGCAGAGAACAGAGAGCCCTGAGGCTCTGGCAGCAGGCGGGTGGCCAGAGTAGGGCTTGCTGGACTTCGCTGTGGGGACAGTTTGCAGGGCACAGACAAGGCCATACACAAAGGTCATAAAACAAAATTTATCTTTAATTTGTAAGTGTCAACAGCAGTACAAAAGATGGAGTGATGACAACTAGATTAGGGTAGAGAGGACAGTCTTGAGGTAAATGAGCATAAATAAGCAGTTCTTATAGACACTCCCCTGAGGGGCCGCAGCCCCGTCATGGCATATACATCATCACCCAAAGATGGCATGTTTAACATATCAGGAAAGCACCTTGTGCAAAAAGGAAAAAAAAAAGTAGCTAAGGTGCCAACATACACCAGGATAATAAAGACAGTGTGTCTTTCAATTTTGTCTTTTCCCTTAATTATGAGGCAGAGGAGGGGAAGACTTGAAGTACCACTGAAGGATTATTCAATGTTGAGCTTGATCTCACGTCAATACTGCACAACAAAATCCAAGAAGTTTGTGTATGCAACAAAGCTAAGAACAATGATTCATTCCTTTAAATTCCAAGAGATTCTTTTTTTATTTTTCCCATTTCTTTAATCCTTAGCAAACTTTTTTTTAATTATTATTATCAAGAGGAGAGTGTGAGAAAGATGTGATGGCAACCCTTAAGGTCATTTAAAAACTTTACACTGGACTGTACAAGATTTTTTTTTGATAAACTATTTACATTTTCAGACTTTCAAACATATTCAAAGCAGCAATAGACACTAGTTTTTATGTTTTTTTTTTTTTCTAATTGCCCAAATAGTTACCAGCCATGGGCCAAGTAGGTACCTGCATTATACATAGAATTTCTACAAAGAAAATCTGCAGTTAAAATTTGCTCCAGGGTGTGTGAAATGCCCTTGGGGTCTCCAGGGTCACACCCACAGTGTTGCTATAGGAACCAAAGCACAGTACCTTGACAACAGGGTTGCAGTTGTCCCAACAGCGGGTCTTTAAACACAAACTTTACACTTTGAAACAGCAGCCAGCATGTCAGTCCAGCATGTCAGTGAATTGTGCTGATTAAATTAACATAGAATACAATCTCACAATATACATCACAAACAAATTACAACGTTGGGGAAATAAAAGAGTTACAGTAAGATAAGTTATGTAGTAACAGCTTATAAGCTTGTCTAAGGTAATAAAAATTTTACATGGCAAATACAATAATGAATGAACATAAACACTAAGCATTCTAATTTGCTACAAGCTGGAGAAGGGTACAATAGAGACTGCACTTCCAAAAAAGCAAAAACACATGAGACGAAGGAAGACAAACGGAGAATGCACATGAGCAAACCTGCAATGTGCAGCACACAAAACAGTTAAATATTTGCACATTCCCCATGCTCCATGAGCACCAGCACTGAGGCCTCACTTGATGCTTGTGGTTTGTCAGGAATAAGATACTACGGAACGAGATATGTCACTGAGTTGCCGTCGAGCTTTCATACTGCCGTGGACACCGGATATCTGTGCGAGGCATGACCTTTCTGTCCCTACCCTGCCCGCCCCCTACCTCTGCCCCAAAGGTACCAGCATTACCAATACTTGTTCATGAGCTTTTGGAAAGCGGTCCGTCCCCAGAGGAAAAGATGCAAGGCAAAGGAAGAGGAAGTGTGTTTGCATATCAGTATTTCAGTGACATGAGCACGGGGCACTCTCAATAGGATATGGCATCGGAAACAGAACATCGTCGGCAGAAATAACAGATAGATGCTGTTTATTAAGGAAGAAAACATGGCCAGGGGCAGAGGACTTAAGGAAATGATGCAGGTTCTTTTGTGAGAGGGCAAATGAGGTCACACAATGTCATTATTATACTTTGAGAAGTGAGCTTAAGTGCCAACTCGGTCCTTAACAAGCATGTACAAAATCAGGAGAGGCTACAGCGACCATCTTTGTCATTTTCATTAAAAAGGAAGACCCAGCAATAATTTCGATACATTCCTCTAGCTGCATTTGTCTGCAGTTGTTGGCACTTGGTAGGGGACTTCTCATATGATTGAAAATCACTTAGTGATTCTTTCTCCGCTCCCTAATGGGTTGGGAGAGGTCAACTCTCTGCAAATGCATAAACTGAGAGAAGCAGCCTCAGTTGTGATGTTCAAGCGACTAGGCTACAGAAAGTGAATGGGCTTCCCAGAACAATCCCTGCTTTCAGCTGGAGCCTGCTGCCCTGCTCAGGAGGGTGTGCTCCCAAGAAGCAGCGGCCTTTTAATTCCAACCCTTGAGTGATCACACCCTTTTCACACACACCCAGGCTCCCATGAGGCAAATGTTCAGGGGAGGCCAGAATCTGACAAGTCAATAGCCCTGTGAGCACGCACCTGAATTTAGAGCATGGCCTGGGAGTTGGTGTCAGGACCCTGGCAGACTGAGTCAGGCCTGAGAACAAGGATGGAGAAGATCAAATACCAAATGAAGCAAACTGATGTGCTCCTCTGAGGTGGAGCTGGATTCGTGTGGAAACAACACAGCTTCTGCACCTCCCTGGATGGGACACCGCCTCGCATCTGAAATTTCTCACATGAAATAGAGAAACGCCAGCCTGGCTGCTCATGTCAGCAGACTGATTGTGCATTCTCTCACACTTTCTTCCTTCCTATTCCATATGGCCCATTTTTTAAGGAAAGGATTGTCTGCCAGTGCCCCTATTCTAAGTGACAAGGAAAACCCTGATCCTGTAAGTTCTTTAACAAAATGGAGATAATTTTTATCTCTGATTTGAAGATACTGTGAAATAGAGAGCACTGAAAAAAAATAGCTTAACATTCTTTAATCGAACTGGCATGGTGGGAGTTTTATTAATAGCCAATCTCAGAAGCAGATTTTTGCCTTTCTAACAGCATTTATTCCTCTTGCTATTAAATCACAGAATGATCTCAGAAGATTTTTGTGAATTCACAAAGCTAATTGACTCTCTCTCCTAGCTGTACTGGAAATTTAGTGTGTTCAATTCCGCAACTTTCGATAAGAAAAGCCGGGGGAAGGTCTGAGTCTGTGGACAGTGGGCCCCGCAGTGCCTGAGAACCCAGTGAGGCATCCGCTGTCCAGGCTGCAGGCCCTGCACTGCTCTCTCCTGGAGCCACCGTCCCCGCGAGGCAGTGTCTCATCAGCTTCGAGTTTGGACCAACATATATGGATAGAGAACAAAAAGGAAATACATAACTTATATCTCACTAAGTATTCATGAACCCCAAATAAATTCTATTTCTATGTTATATTTACACAGTTAGAAAAATCTAAAATGAGATGGTAAAGTCATAAAAACTTTGTTTAAGCCCCGCTGAAAATAAAGTGAAGTGATCCCTACGATTGTCATTCTTAATTTTCGTGGGTATTTAGAGCCAAACTTGGCTAATAAATAGAATAAACTGCTTATGCGCAAAATTTAGATTCGAATACGGAGTTACTGTTTGATCCAATAAAAGATCATTCCTGAATAGCCTTTCATTTTTAAGAATATGGCTAGAAGTAACTGAGCCCCAGAACTGAGGCAGAGCTGGAGCTAAAACAAAGCGTTCATACACACGTGTATTTTGCATAAATAAATGAAATAACAAGACATAAAAATGACTCAAATCCGGCAACTGTGAGGCAAGCCCACACGAGTCGAAACAGATGACTTTTGTTCATGTAGTTTTCGTACAACAGTTTCACATTAGTCAGAAGTGATAAAAAATACCATTTATATCCAGTGCTTATAACACTTACGAAACAACATCTGTGAGTGTGTGTTTTTTGTTTTTTTTTCCTCCTTACTACAAGCAAAATCAAGTTTCAGTCCTAAAGAACAGTCCTTTGTTCTCCACCAGCCCAGAATATTATTTTGGCATGGTCATAAAAACAAACAAAATTAACCTACTATGCTAAATGTTCGCCTTTGTGCAAAATTAATTACATACAATACAATGCTAGCCATACAACACCCTACCTATGCAACAAAATAAAAAAAGGAGTGAGAGAGAGCCAAAGCCAGAGTGAAAGAGAAACAAACATGAGACTGAACTGAGGAGAGGTATATACTCAGAGAGATCAGTAAGAGAATAATAAATACTCATTTGTTTTTTTAGAAAAATGACCTCCTCCTCATTTCAAATAAATGTACAAAAACAAAGTTCTAATCCCCAACCAATATTAAGAACAAAACATTCCTATCAGTACCTTAATCAGCTTATAGAGAGTACTCCCAGCTAGCGGAATAGCTGGAGATATCTTGGCTAGACCTACTTATTGCCATTAGGCATGGTCTTGAGCACTCTTAAATAAATAGGAAGGTACACTATTTTCTTCCAAGTGACAAAATGGCTCAAGAAATCTGATGGGGCCGTTCCTATGTCCTGGTGATCAGATTCTGGGTCGTCCCATGAGGTGAACGGTCCCATTCACTGATAATCGCCCATCAAACCACTCTGGGTGGACTGCCCCACCCTGTAGGCAACCAGTCCTGGCTTCAGGAAGGTCAGAATGGCATGGCAAGCCCCCTTGAGTTCGGAGATGGGGACTGAAACCTCACTGCTTCCCAGCCCAGCAGCACGTCTCCCGGAGGATCCTTGTGTGACAAACACAGTTCGTCTTGTTCACACGTAGGCTGGTCTCCATGTAGCCACAGGTACAGGGAGTCAGTCAGGGGATCTCTTCTATTGCCCTAGGAGTTACCTGTTCTCTGGAGTTTGCAGTAGGGACGTCCCATAGAGGGAATGTATTTCCCCTCTTCTCCTTCCCTGTGGTTTCTTTCATTCCCTGGACGTAGCATGACTATTTGCCACTATCTTTGCTTTGAGGCTGTCATGTAGCTTCTTACATCCTGTGAATTTTGCAAAGAATTCCCTGGATGTGCCAGCTAGGACAAGACAACTCAGTGTAAAGGTGCCAGCCCATGACAGCTTCACTGGGACTCCTACATGGCCCACAAGCCTTGGGCTTCAGGTGTGGCTGCAGGACTCTCCTGTCTGGCAGTAACCTCTGTTGACCCTTGCTGCTAAAGGGAATTCAGGGGAAATGCCACTGATGCAGACCCTACTACTTGTTGCTGAACTGAATAAGGGAAAATTCTGGCAAAAGATTTGAGGTCACAGTGAACCTCAGGGGCATACCTGTTTAAGACTATACCCCTACATCCAAATACACAGCCCTGTGGCCAGATATACACTTATGTTTAGAAACAATGATATAGGTATTTAATAGTATCGCAGTTTCAGAAATGCTTCCAGATGCTCTGGGGACATAAAATCATTATGTACATCTTTTGTATCTAGCAGGAGAAGGAGGTGAAAAGGGCTGAAAAGTTATTTGGGGAAGGAGGGCGTAAAATAAGAATTATTAAATTAATGCCACCAACAATTTTTAAAAAATAAATAGTAAATGGACCCTTGACATTCTGGAATGAATAAATTATTTAAGAAAAAATGTGTTAAGACTGAATGTCAGGGTTAAAGGCAAAGGGATAATGGATGTAGTGAGAGGTGGTCTCAGGCAGAGAAGACCACCAGTCGGTATCTGGTGTGGTGATCATTCTGGTGTGTGTGCGTCATGCCACGTCACGCACAGATGGCACGTCAAGAGGCAAACACAATTGGGTACATGCACTGTGGCAACCTTGTTCATTCCTTACAATATCTGGTCTCCAGATTCCTGAGTACTTTACCATTTTCTGGAAAAAAAAAAAAAGTTGGTTTGCTATTTTATTTTAAGATGCCAAAGATTGTCTAAGACTTTGCAGTGTCTCCTTTAAGACTTTCAAAATATTAAGATTCAAAAGTTATGAAAAAGTTTGGCACATTCAAAGTTTAACTCGACGCATGGAAAACTGGAATTCTGAGGCCTTTTGAATACGCTCCTACATGCAGCTGCACACGCCGTGGACTTGTTCTGTTTCACAATATGAAATCCTCAGTTGTTTTCTAAAAGAATTCAGAATAAAAACACATTCACAACCTGTAGGCCGGCACAGCATACCTGAGTGAGAATGTTTAACCCCATCTAAAACAGTAACTTAAACCTTTATCAACATCCAAAAGGAAAAAAAAGTAAGACAAAAATAGAAGACTTGTAAGACATCTACGGGTTGAGATAAGTTTTCAAGTCCTGGTGTCTCATATTTAATATGTCTTCACCTAAATTAAAAAAACAACAACAACAATAACAATAACGACAAAAAACTCAAGTTCATGAAAAATCAGGGAAAACTTAATCTGTCTCACACTTTACGAAACAATTAAGACCATTCTGCTGATGTAATTGTGGAGCCACAAATGCATGCGGGCTCTTTAAGAACTTTTTGTTGGGGAGGGGGGTGAAATGTCAGAGCATTTTAATTCAGCAAACGAAAACTCCTCAGTTGGCACTGACAGCCTCCGGGGCTTCATTTTCACTGCTATAGTCTGATTTGGGGTCATCTTCATAGTCGTCATACATTTCCATTTCATCCTCTCCGTTAATCATTTCGTTTCCAGCTAGGCTTCCGCCGTCTGTCTTCATGCCATAAGTGCTCTGGATGACCGGGAGGCTGGGCTCCGGGCTGGCGGAGGTGCTAGAGCAGTCAGATGTCATCTGAGGCGATGGTGTGGTAGTTGCCATAGTGATAGCACCGGGATACACAACACCTGTTCCTGTGGTGATTGGAATCTGTGGCTGCTGCCTGCGTAGATTCAAAAAACAAAATGAAACAGGAGAATATATGTTCATCTGTGTGGCGTTGGAATTCATCCCCTACGTGGTCCAAGGTTGGTAGGGGGGCTATCTAACATTTTAAGCAAATAATAAAGGCGTTCCCTGAAGAGTCCTGCAAATCTCCCTGATGCTGTGTTTGGGGTGAAACAATATAATGCAGCAATTGATCAATGGTTTTGCAACATAAAGACAGATCCCTTTAACATGGCAAATATGGCAATGCTTGGATAACACTTGGCATGAGGAACAAACGTAGTTAATTCCACAGTTACACGTGAGATCATTTTTTAAGATCTCCCAGAACATTTTAAAAAACAGACTAGTGGCATGAAACACATGATAATGACACTATTAAACAGGTTTGTATGATCTTCATCTTGGTTTGAGAACTATATAGAGGAAAGATGGAGTTGAGAAAGGACCTAGTGTGGTATTACTCTGAGGCCCTGGCCTGGAACTGGGGCTGGGATTGGACGAGTCAGGACAAGTAGCTGCGAGAGCTCTGCAACTCAGCAGAATAACAGGCACCAGACACGATGCCTCACCCTCCACCCCCACGGGTGCCAAGGCCTGGGCACTCCAGTTCATTCCTTCGTAACGCCACCCCAGTTCAAATAAACTTAACAGACTCTTTGTGAAGGTCAGTCTCTCCCTCTGCTGGGAGACATGACTACTGTCTTTCAACTTCACCTGGGGTATTCAGACCAGGACACAAGAATTAAAGAGCTCCCTACCTCAGAGATTATGACTGATGCAGTATGTTCATGTAGGCAACATTCACCAAGTGTTTCTCAGTCTTTTGGACAGTACCGTGCAGTGGAGATTAGTCTCAAAAATGTCATTGTAGCTATCCCTTCAGAGCCTCGGTCACTACATATTTATAAAAGTTGGAGTCAAGGAAGTTCTGGAAGTCCTTCCAGCTTTTTGTATTCGTGGCTTCAGGTCAATAATCGCTGAAACAATTCTTACTGGCAACGCTTTATTGCCAAAACTTTCTATCCGCCTCACTCTATCAGGAAAATATCCTCACTCTGTGAAGAAATAGCTAGTTTCCAGCTATTCTTTGACATGTCTAGAAGAAGCATAATTGTCTCACAAAGCCCTGCATGCTTTCCAGCCTGGCAGAAGGAGAAGTGATGGAGATGGCTTGGAAACAGGTGAGAGATCAGATCATGCTGTCTTTCACAGCCTCCTTCAGTCACCATGAGGCATAATGATGCCCTAACTTTTCACTAACATAACACATAAAATATTTTCACACATTATTCATTCAACTAACATAACATGAAAATTCAATAAGTTATTATCGTTTCAGTTTTTCAGATGAAGAAATTAAGGCCTTGCTTCAGGTCCTGCTTTCAATAAGTAGCAGAGTCAGAATTTGAACCTAGGTCATCACCTGAATTGAATTCCTCCATTCTTTCCTTTAGAAATATTCAGTATACAGATGAACTAAGCTCGCAATAGTCCATAAATATCCGTGACTTCTACAGAGCCCGTCAGCACCCAGTTGACACTAAACACCTGCTATTAATCTAATTTTTATGATTCTTATGGTGAATTTTTTTGATTGCCTGAAGGAAGCAGATAATAGAGAGATCAAAATCCATGCGTAGAAACATAAAATACTGTTTTCCATCTCATCAAATCAAACTCTAAAACAGTATCCTTCTTGCTTCCTAAGTTTTGGGCAAATTAATGAAAATTAAATGTCATGCTAACCTTCCCATGGCAGTGAATGCCTCATGAATTTTTTTAACTGAATTTGGATAACTGCAATAAAAACATTTTTGTCTTAATTCCATTATGAGTGCGGAGGACAAACTTTTACTGCAATATTAACCCATTTTACAGATTTTCCAACTTGACAGGCTGATCTATAATATAAACTCTGCATAAAGAAACACACTATATATTTTCTTTTCACAAAGAATAGATGGTCATTTCACAGTATTTTTATCAGAATATCTATATCTATAGTTCTATTAAATAAGCTTGAATGGAGTGCCTATGATGTGCCAGGGCCTATACTTAGATGTGTTCACATCATCTGCTTTAATCCTAAGCTTTAATAATAAGTTCATGAGGTGAGAACCATTTCTCCCTTTTACAAGTGAAGTAACCAGTTAAGGTTCATAGTTCCAGCTGTTTCTCCAAGACCACACAGGTAAAATGGTTGGGAGTTGAAGCCTTCCCTAGGTCACAAATTCTCTATTGGATGTCAAAATTGGGGTGAGAAAGCAAACTCACACTACCAGAAAACAAGTGATTTGAATTAGAATCAAAATCTTCTAAACTGAACTCCACATATCTGACAGTATTTGGACATTAAGCTGGTGACGGAATGCTAGAAATACACAAGCAAGTCAAACATCTGTACAATTTCTTTTCTAGAGTGAGACACGTGGTATTCAAAAAAGCCTGCTTCTGGGTGGTAAAGAGACAGGTATGACTGTTGTAAGCCCCTCACCAGTATTAAAAGCAAGTGATGGTAAAAATGAGGGGTTACCCCCTACCATGAGGAAATGAAGGGAGCTCGGCTCAGGTAGGGGTCGCACATTCACATGCAACTATTTCAGATTGTACGTAAATGCTAGAGTGAGAGCATATCCCTAAAGACATGATTCTTGCCTCACCAAGGCCTTCTGGGAAGAAGGTTATGTGGTACAGTGCAGAGCTTAGGTTCTGGATTCAGACAGACTTGGGTTGGAATCCACCAATTACCTGTGGAGTGACCCTGGGCAAGCTAATGATCATCACTGACATTCCCTCTCCTCATCTAAAAATTAGAAGATCGAACTTACTTGACAGTATTGTCAAGGAGATTAAAAACACATATGCAAAGCATTATGTATATAGAGTAGATATGCAAATGTTAGTTCCCCTTTCTTTCCCTCTTTGGGAAGTTGGTGTAAACTCACAGAGAGCAAGCACGTTCTGGGTTTGGGGGTGCACAAGGAAATGACAAGGTCATGGGCTGGACTCACCCTGAGTACTGGCCCATGGAGCCATTCGGAAAAAGCGACAACAACAGACTGTAAAACAGGACTCAGGTTCACAGCCTGGCCAGGAGAGGACTTCCTCTCGGCCACAGTGAATACAGGAAAGCACATCTGAGATGGGAAAGTAGAGACATCTTGGGAGAGAACTTTCAGAAGGAACGAATCCTGAGAGAGTAACCTTTGATTTTCTAGCCTTATCTCCCTCTTTCCCTAGTTCCTGAAATCTTTCCATTGTACCCTCCAGAACTCAACCGTTAGGACTTACTGCCACAGCTCTAACTGAACCTTGGCTCTCTCTTTAGACCACTGCTCTCCCTACAGTCCTCTCAAGAACTGGCTGTTTGCTTTCTGTCCCCATCACACAAATGGGCTGAGGTGGGGTATCTGTCTCTTAACCCCTCTTGTCTCTTCCAAGCGAGTTTTTATTCCTCCATCTTAAAAATCTCATCTTTGAATCTCATGTCACCAGACTATGTCACCCGCTCAGCCCCTTATCTACTTTCTGCCTCGTCTTCCCCCATCATTCCTCAAAGGTCTTAGGCTCCTGGCTCACTGTTGCTGCCTCTCCAACATTATCCCAGCCATAAACTTTGATGACTTCATACTCTCTGTAGATGATCTTGATGTCTCAGTTTCGCCTTCCCCCCACTGTGAAAATCAGACCGCTCCCTATCTTAGTGGTTCACTCTCTTGTCATACAGCAGACCTTGTCATTGCCAACTTTCCCCCTTCCTAGTCTCAATCTTAACAGCCTACTCTCTGACCACCACACCTTATCTTTCTAGTAGCCTCCCTCTAGTCCCCAGCTCACAATTCCCGCCTGCCCCCACCAAGAGGAGTTTGGGTCAATTTCTTGGTCCTTCAACTTCCACTGCCCTCGCTTACTTATGCCCCTCTCCCTTGTGCCCTCACTTGCCTCTTTACAAGTTTAAATCCTGTGGCTACTCTCTACCTCACAGATAGTCTCCACTGTCGTATACAGCAACACTCTAACTTTAGTTAAATCTAATTCTTTCCCTACTCTGGTTTAGCCACACAGCTGAACTTGGCTGGAGAAAATACACCACCATGCTTCCCAGTCTCTAAGTGTATAACCATAAGCTTCAAATTGGCCTCTGTTTGGCCATTGCATTGCACATTTTCTTCTAGACAATTGTTTTCTACCCTCTCAACTCTCTGCAAATGTCTTACTTCTCAATTCTCACTCTGAACTCATGACCTGGCAGAAGAAACTCTCACAAGCTCCCACCATCCCACCTGTGACCCATCCTCTGCCCACCTTCCTGTATTTTAAATCAATTCATAATCCCACATAAAGCTAACTTCTCTGCTTGTGCACTGACACTATCTGTTCCCACTTACTCAGGATGTCTCTTCAGCAACTGTCTCACCCATCCACAGCACTGATTTTTCCTTTCTCCTGTATCATTCCCAATGGACATGTTAGAATCTAGAATCACTCCTACCTTAAAAACAAAAATGAAACACTGGGCTCATGTACCCCTCCATCTCCTCCATGTATCTCTCTGATGTCCTTAAAAGCAACCTTTCAGAAATGAATATAATTTTCACATTAATAATACTCTTATCTTTCCATCTCTTCTACTTAGTTCTTTCTTAAATCCACCTCAATCACTCCCAGAACTACACTGAAATAAGAGCTTATGAAGGTCACACCACCAGTGATCTTCACATTTAAATCCAAAAGTTAGTTCTTGGTCTTTACCTTACTAGACCTATGCCATGGGCAGCATTTGATACAGCTGATCCCTCTTCTCCTTGCTGAACCATTCTGTTTCCTTTTCTTCCCAGATCCCACACTCCACTGGGTCTTCTGATCTCATTAGCTGCTTCTCCAAGACCCTTTGTTTCCCATCTTCCTGGCATCTAAGCACTGGAGTACCCATCAACTCAGTCCTTGAAAATCTTCTCTTTTATATCTAAATGTATTCCCTTGGTGATTTTG